AAAAAAAAAAAAATATGTTATATGAGTGTGTGTAATATTTACAATCATAAGTTAGAACATGACTGTATCACATTTAAAAATTCATTGGTAAAAACGAACGATATAAACATATCAATATTTATATTGATTGCAGTCATGTATATTTCGTGTTACTTTATGATTAGTTAGTAGTTATTATATGATAAAATGAATAAAAAATATAGTTATTTGGTTAATCAAAATATAACCAAAATGAGCGAGAGTATGAAAAAAAAAAATTGCCCTATTTTTTTAACAATAATTATATATATAGAGAGAGATTTTTAATATTAATAATCTATTGACGTTGATTTTTATATGAATAATTTATTTATATTGATGTTATTTTATTTGTAAATAATATATGGGTTGGTCAAAATTTGGATTCTATTATCATGATCCATGGATAACTTTGTAAATGGGCTTCATTTAATCAAAGGCATAGGAGCAACCTAGTACATCACACAAAATGAAAAATGTTACAAATATATAATAAATATACATAGAGGTGTACATAACACTCATATTGAGTGGGGTTCACTTAATTTTTTTGGAAAATGTTACAAGTACATAATAAATGTACATATAGGTGTACATAACACTCACATGGAGTGAGGTCCATTTGATTTTTTATTTTTGGTGGGTCTCACTCAATGTAAGTATTATGTACACCTCTATGTACAATATTATGTACTTATCGCATTACTCAATTGTTTTTTTATACGACCCACTTAATGTGAGCGTTATGTACACCAATATGTACATAATTATGTATTTATAGCATTTCTCTGACAAATTTACCTAGTTCATCATGTATATAAGAGCATATGCAATGTTTTGTGTCTAATTTTGCAGATGTGACATGTAAATAAATGCAAGTCTTGTATGATATGGATAAGACAACACAAGTTTAACAAAATTAACTCTAATGCAAGAGACCAGGTATTTACTTGGGTCTAAAATATACTTAAGTGTTGACCGACTCTTTTTTCTCGGTGTCACATCAACAAGACCCAATAAAAAAACCCCAATTCGAACCAAAAAGGGAAATGCTACTTGATTTCAAATTCCGACGAATATCTGCGCAAACAAATGACGGCGCGATCGAGGTCGTGAGGTCGTGAGGGCGAGGTCGTCGTGGAACATCCTAGATCTGGGCAAACAAATGATGGTGCGGTCATCGTGGAACTTTTCGGACGGTGTCTGGATGAGGGGATGAGGTGCTCGGACGGTGTTGTCTTGCCGTGAAAAAGTCTCTCAACTTCCGGTGAATATGATTTTTTTTTGTCACGAACGATTTGTTTTTAAGTGGGGGAAATTGAAAATGAATTGAATTGAACTGGGGGAGGAAAAATAGTGTAAAAGCTAAAAATTGAGTTAAGGGTATTTTGGTATTCTCACATATCAAAATGGCTAAAAAATATATTTTTTTACAAATGGCCAAAATTTATGTTTTGATATTTATATGGTTATTAAGTGATAATAACACTATAAAATATGTATCATGTGCATCGCACGTGCACTTTTACTAATGAGATAAAAAGAGGGACACGAAACGTTACGACTTTAAAGAAATGAAAAACAATTCTATAAAGGCAAAGCAAGAAATTGTATATTCTATTTCATTTGTACGTTGCCATTTCGCTTACATTGTGCTCGTAAAAAATAATAACAATGACAATAATAATAATAATAGTAATAATAATAATAATAATAATAATAATAATAATAATAATAATAATAATAATAATAATAGAATTGAGAACATAACATGGTTTATCTTTGAAGAGTAATTTTAAAGGAACTACGGAAAAGATGGAAAACGCATGATATCTTGCTCGCAAGCGCTGCAAATAAATATACTCGGAATCTCATCACTCTCTAGGATTTGTACGCACCGCGTGTGCTGCCAAACTTGACATATATCACATGTCACCATCCTTTCCCCATCTTCATCTTTGGCACCACAGAGGCAATCCACAACCATACTTAGTCCTTCACCAACCAATCCTTGTTGCAGCTGCCACTCAAACACCATTTTGCTTCCTGGTTTAACACTCTTAAAAACCAAATCCGACCCTTTGTTAACTATGGGGTTTCCCGCCACAAACTCCCTTAACCGCACATATGTTTCTCTAAATGTCTTCTCAACTTGAAACCTTAGCTCCTCAAACCTTGTGTTGCTCCTCAAGATGAAGCAATGGTATGGTGTACTAATAATATTATTGGTCATGACCCCTTTTTCTTTTGATTTTTCATTGCCACTAGTTATAAAGACATTAACGGCGCAGTATATCCTCCACGTGTTGGTCTCATCATACGTTTCCAAATCCCTACGGTATTCTTTCACGAGATACTTGGAATCAAGAATGATTCTTGAAGCATTATTAGCCAAAACACCGTCGACATAACCGTGCATCATCGCATTTTCATCAGGTCTCGCGTTTAAAATGTTTTTATACGCACATAAAATGTCTGTGGTGAGCTGACCCCAAGATACCTTAATTTGTTGTTTACCCTTGAAATCGATGCTAGCCCTCGAGACGTCCTCCAAGCAATATTCCAACACTTTGGTGACTGGATTAAGACATCTTCTTACAAAGTATTTCCCCACCATGTGATTGCCCAATGACTTGAGCACAAAATCAAGCAGGCCCGTGTCACCAATATACGTCCGTGCAACATCTCTCACGTGCTGCCTAGAAACCCATTGAAACTCAGCCCGTTTAAGGGCCTCAACTACCACATGGATGGCCATCTCAACACGCTTGGGAGACCACCTGCAGGACGTGTCTGACATGATCCGCGAGTAGTGAGAGTCGAATATTGCGTTATTAATGTTTTCTTTTGGAATTCGGAGTTTCAGTTGGAGCATGAAATGAAATAGGTCACCTAGCGTGGCCAAGGAGTGTCCCGACAGGATTTGGTACCTAGACAATATTGTTTGGATCTCAATATTTGAGAATGTTAGTTGATGGGTGGCAATCGGGCTAACGGGAATGTTTTGGATGGCCTTTACTGCACTTTGGTATGTTTCTTGATTGATTCCAAAGGTTCCCCGGCCAAACACATAGTCCCATTCTCCAAACCACGGTTTGCCATAGGCGATAGCGTGGAGCAACCTAAGGTCCATGCCTTTCCTTTTTGCCTCATCTTTCAAGCTCACTTTCCTAACAAAAGTCATAAACAACGAGACAGTATGCAAACAAATAATGCAACATAAAGATTAATTATTATTATTATTATTATTATTATTATATTATTATTATTATTATTATTATTATTATTATTATTATTATTATTATTTGGGTGAAAAATGGAGAATACAAACCTTGCTCCCAATGCGGAGCACAAACGATCCCAAAAATCCATGATTTGGTAGCCAGGCAAGTCAGACCCGGTTTCAGATGAACCGTTAATACAGAGTAAATGGCCAAAACCATTAGAGTGAAAGACGCCGTGAAGAGTGTGGGTATGGGCCTGCAACTGAACCGCACTAGACTTGAAATAATCAACAGCTGAACCACAAGACTTTGTCGGCAACACGAAATGGTACTTCTTATTGCACATCATGTGATGCCCCCAGCCTGAGCTACATTATTAATCAAACAATAAAAACTAGCCAAAGCATATATTATTCCATGCGTGTTAGGTTAATTTTTTATGTCGTCAAATGGTTAGTCAGTCATACAGTACAATATTCTTAACAAATAATACTTTTTTCCTCAAATATCATACTTTAAAATACAAATAAACAAAACTATGACATGTAATAACATAAGCATAATTTTTAATACGACTTGTGGTACCAGAAACTGACTTGTGTTAAGTTCCTAATATAGTAAGAACAACACCAAATGCACACAATGCATACACATATAACCGGAAGAAAACAAGATATCATTTTGTAAAAGAAGAAAAAAAAGAGAGAAAAAATATAATTACTATACCTATGTAGTGGCAATGGTTGCAACGAAGGTCGAGCGACACGTCTTCTTGGACAACAACCAAAAACATATGCAACAGAGGTTGGCGGCGGACTTCGAGGTGGAACGACCAGCTGGGCATGGGCCCACACACCTCAACCTGTTGCCCGTATTCCAAAAGTGCGATAACGTTATCGTGAAAAGACCCATTGAAGTCGGTGGGATAACCCCTCTCCCCAAACACCTTGAATTTGAAAACCCTTTCCCCTCTTTTCCTCTTTCGACACCCACCTGGCATCCTATTTTTTGTTTTTATGAGCCAAAATCTTTGAATTATAGCTTTATATATGTGTGTTAATGTGTGTATGTGTGTGTGGTGAACATATTTGCTAGGTCACACGCATGGTGCCACTGAATATAGAAAGAAGCAAGTGATGGAGGTTTTACCATACCCACTATCTGCATGATCTCTGCCTAATTTAACGTGCATTATTTTTTGCAAAACAGTCGTTGTGGCAACATGCATGACTCTTTTTTTTTACTTTTTATTTTTATTATTTTTAGAACACGGTTTTCAATAGATTTTTACAAAAACAGGAGAAAAAAACATGATGATGTGATTGTGTATACATATTTATTGGACAAAATAAAAAAATTGCAATATTGTCAATGTAATTAAAATAAGTACACTCGTTAAGTTCATTACAAAATATCAATTTGACAGTTTTGTTATTGAGCCATCGGATAGCTCGGCTTATGGAGCCATCCATTGTTATTCACAAATGATGTATTGACACATGTCGTGCAATAAATGCACATTGGACATGTGTCAGTACATAAAATTATGGATGGCTTCATAACGTAGCCATCCGATTGCTCCATAGATTTACTGATCAATTTGATAAGTTACTGTACTAAATAGCAAATGTCAATTTGATGACTTAATGTACCAATTTTATATTACTTTTTAATACACTATAATAGTGGTGGCCAGTCAACGGGCCAAGGCCCGGCCCGCCGGGCCACGGGCCCTCCAACACACGACCTGCGACCGACCAGCAATCGGCCCGAACCGCCGGTTCATCGACCGGCGGTTCACGGGCCGGGACGGCCCTTACAAAAGTAAAAAAAAAAATTAACAATGTAGCTCGCCGTCCAACCGGGCTCGACCCGGACCGGCGGGACCAAAATACAAAAGAAAATATAACCGAGACCGAACCGCGACCCTACGGGTCCGGTTCAACGAACCGACCCTTAAGTTTCCCGGTTCGTGTCGGATCGGTGTCGGTTTGCGGGCCGGTTCGACCCGTGGACATGTATACACTATAACTTGTGAAACAAGTTAGAATATCAAGGTTTAATAATATTCAAAATAATTTACCGTTAATTTTTTCAAACAAAAACCAATGTTATATATATATATATATATATATATATATATTATATAATAAGAATTATAATTAACAAAAACAGTAACTAAAAAATCTAGAACATTAATTACATTAGTACGTAGCCGTGCAATGCACGGGACAAAGTATTAAATGAGTTATTTCCACATAGCTTCTCCGTTAAGTAGCTCGTGTGATTCACGAGAGATATTAATTGAGTGGTAGGGCTTGTTCGTTCAAGCCTAAAAAATAATAGAGTTTGATCATCTATCTTTTTACATCTTTTCATCAACGCCATTTTTTTGTCGAAACATTAAACCTGAATCTATTAGCGCTAGCCCGTAAATTAATCAATATATATATTATCTCGCTCACATGTTTATAATAAAATAAAAAAACAATTCATATTCATATTTTTGCCCTCATTTCTTTACTTTTTATGTTTTTGTAACAATGCTGCAGAGTAAATTTTAGAGTAATTTTTATCATACTTGATTAATAGATAATAAATTGCAAAAGTCACCGTTTGGACGGCGGCTGCAGCGGCAGATTGGCGATCCGGCGCCCCTCC